CTCATATCAGGACTCGTGCTAACATTTCATATGAAGGTAATGGGGTCCCACCAGTTATGGTGCTGGTCTTCAGAATATGGACAATACCCGGGAGCAGTTGATTGCTGCTGCTCGGACGCTTAGCAAAGATAGTCGTGGGACACGTACCAGTACAACTCAAAGTGCTATAAGCAAGCAACTTGATGTGGAAGAACTTGAAATGCTTCTGGAAGCATACTTTGTCCAGATTGATGGCACACTGAATAAACTCTCCACTGTATGTAACTCTACTGATGCTTTTGTAAGACTGTATATATTTTGGTTGGAGAAAAGAAGAGAAGGAAAACAATAGTAAAAGATCAAATGTTAGTTTAGACCTTCACCATTAATCGAAAATTTACTTAATCTTTAAGTCATGACAAACTGATGTCAAACAGAAAATATTTTTAGCGCAAAATAGAAATGAGAAAGTATTACACTTCCGACTTGATAGGAAAGGTTTCGATCAAAACCGTAAAACAAGATCTTGAACCCTACTGTTTCTGGGAAGTTTCTCAAGTCACTAGAATTGGAAAAGGTGTATGCGTCTTGATATTAGTTATGATTATGGTTGCCAGTATAAGAATGAGATAACCAACGGCCCAAAGGGCATTGGCCACCACAAAAGACTCAAGTTATTGTGAGCTAGGGTCAAGGGTTCAAACCTTGCCTAACATGTGGCTTCTCCAAATGCATACGGGTGTGTAGTACATCTGTCTGGTCCGATGGTGGTTTAGTCTCTAGCGGTTTCCCAATGGCCCAATTGGGTCCTCTCCTATGTTAGGCTAGAGTAGGAATAGGAGGAGAGTAGATGTTGCTGATTGACCCCAAAAAAAAAAAGAAAGAAGAAGAAGTATAAGAATGAGGATATATGATCATTGGATGACTACTTATGCAATTCACTGCATGATTTCCCTTTTTTTTTTCTTTTGAGTAATTTAACATGGTTATATATGCACTACTTTACATACTACTACCAGTTTTTCCTTCTGGTATGGTTTCAATTTGCTATCGTCTACATCTGAGTCTCTTCTCCCCTTTTGAGATGTCGTTTGTCATAAATAAGTAAAATGTTATATGCTGTTGAGTTCCTTCAGAAACAAAATTGCTTTTCAAGCCTTGATGACTCAGTTCCTGAATCTTGAGCCAGTTTCTTATAAGATTTAAATGACATTTTACAATATTTGTGTTTTTTGAAGTTGAGGGAGTATGTAGATGATACTGAAGACTACATCAACATCATGCTGGATGACAAACAAAACCATCTCCTGCAAATGGGGGTCATGTTGACAACTGCAACCCTGGTGGTTAGTGCTTTTGTTGTCGTGGCTGGGATCTTTGGCATGAACATCCGTATTGAATTGTTTGACCCGGACAAGGCTGGGATGCCACAATTTCTATGGACGGTAGGCGGTGGCACTACTGGTACCATATTCCTGTATGTGATTGCAATGATCTGGTACAAGCAGAGACGCTTGATAGAGTGACCGTGGAGTGCATAAAACTGCCTTTTTCTGAAAGCTGTATGTTATGTTGTATATGCAAAAAGTGCTCACTTGCACACTTCTGTAGCTTATGTCATGCTGATTGTAAAATATTATGCCTTGACATAAGAGCTATGCAATGCTCAGACGCTCAGGCGATAAATCTGGTTTATAAATTCTTTCTGGCGGCCAAGAGATTGGTAATATTAATAGCTTGAGATCTTGTCCCTCGTGTATCCAGATTACCTTCTCTGTCTGCAGTTTTCTGTGCATACTCTGTAGCCTTGTTTACTAGGTCGATACATTCTCTGCAGGGAAAGGCTTGGTGCTTCTTGTCAGCAAATTTGGCACCTTGCCCATGCAAGCACCAATTAGTACAGATATTGATCCAGTGGACCAACAAAAGAAAAAAAATTGCAAAGTAGGTTAAAATCAGTGGACCATTTTTAAGAACTAAAGCCACATCCCTCAATGGTAGAGTTTAAAGTCTCATCCATTCAGAGAGATTTTAAAAATTTGGAACCTCTGAAAGCCAAAACTCGACACATAAAAACATTGAATTTTAAGAAATACTAATTTACAGTTCTCTCAACGTATTAAAGTAAGATGCATTCTAGCTTTTATTCGCAGTCAACCATAAACCTTTTAATTTTTGACTGCAATTATAATTTGTAGTCGCCCAAACAATCATAAATTGCCTCCTCCATTGCTTCAGTGGAAAGAAAAAAACTTTTGGTAGACATTACACAGAAGTTAATATCATTGTAAGAATATTTCCACCTACAATTCTAAAAGAAAAGCATATAAACCAAACGTTAATCTATTCAACAAGGTTGACTAAAACAATATCAGTTTTTACATGAAAAAAAAAAAAAACATTGGTGACAGAAAAAATGAACTATAATATGTCTGATCAGTAACTTGCATTGACCAAGGCTATATTGCTAGCAATCTATGAATAGCCTGTAGCTTCCAAATGGCTTTGTTTTCAAAGTTGCTTCTGCATCCATTCAGAACTTCCAGGTTGTGTAGCACACGTTAGAAGCACTTCTGCATTTTCTTCAAACTTCAGATCACTGATATTAAGCTTCTCAGAATATACAGGTAAACTTGACCTCTACAGTCTTTAGTAAAGCTTAGCAAGTTAATAATGTCATCTCTTCTTGCTGCATCACTGTCATAGGTTCTCAATTACTTGCACACCAAACTTATGCTGTCTTAGGTTCTTTAAGAGAATCAGAATTGGATTAAACTAATTGAGGAATATGTTCAAAGAATAAAATCCCAAATTCAAATCTGGCAAAATAACCAAACACAACTTTCAACAACTTGTGTTTAAAGAGCACATAATTCGTCAGCATAGCAGTTGTGTGTATCTTTGTTCTTTTCTTCTCTTTGGTTTTCCTTAATTGAGGTTCGGTACTTATGAGTTAAAAGTAAATATGCTGTATAGTAAGTATCCAATCATTAATATCCTTTCTTACTTTTATTTATTTAGCTTTTCCAAATCCCACATGGGATTGAGCACATTGATCCTCTATGTGCTTTCTTTGGTCTTTGCAGGTTTTTTAACAAGATCAACAATTCAAACATCATGACCAGCAATGCCATTGATGATATCCTAAAGCGTCTTGAGGAGCTAGAGAACCAAGGAAACTTAAGTGATGTTGCAGAGAACTATATTCAAGACCTTAAAATTCAATTTAAGTTCTAAAAATATTTGTCGGATGGATTATGGTTCAAGGCAGACAGTTTGGTTACACTTAACTTTTTCAAAGACATACAAGAAGTGGTAAATTCTGCTGCATTGCACCTATCTTGACCAACAAGTGATGGTAAGACCGTGGATGAAATGATTTTTGGTATGTTAGAAATTATTGGTTGGCTAGATGTTTCAATGAATTCATCTTGTAGGTATTATGTTTGTTGTCAACAGAATATACCTATAACTGATGAAGATGTTGAGTATATTCATGAACACATAGTAGAGTTGATCAATCCATTGCTGGAGAATCTGAAGTACTTACTTAGCTATCGTAAAGCAAATTAACTAGTTTCGCTGGAGAGACATGTCATAAAACTCGAAGAACAGCTGACATTTTAAAGAAATTTCCGGAAGATTGCAGAGAAGATCACAGAATAAACAGTAAAGCTGGAGATGCAAAACAGATTAAGAAATGTCATGACTCATCTTGAAGTTCTCGTTGGAGATGCAGCAGTAGTGTCTTACTTGTGTTGGCAGGAGAGCTTACAGGAAGAAATACATGTTAAGAATAAGCTTTCTGATCTGATATCACATATAAAACACATTGATCCAGAGATCAAAATGATTTATGTGGAAGTCCTAAAAGATTCAATGATAGAATTCAGGAGACATTCTGGTTGATTTACAAGCCTTGTGGCTCTGGATTTTGTGCTAGGAAAACTGCAGGGACTGCTAAGGTGCAATGCTGGTCCCACAGTTCCACCTCAAGATCATGAAGTTGCAATCCTTTACTCTGATCTCGGCTTCCTGAAAATTTTCTAATGGATCCTCCGTTGCAGCAGTACAAGAAGGTTGACATATTCAATTCACTCTTAATACAGATTGAAGCTGCGGCCAGGGAGGCAGGAGCAATTGATTGTCAAAGAAAGATGAAAAGGACATGCAAACGCTTTTACTGATCAATGATGAGCTGAAGATTCATGCACAACTTGTGAAGGCTGAGATCAGAAAAATTTATGACAAAGTTCTGAAGTCATCACCATTTACTTTTGCCAAGACTCCTACTTTGGGGTTCATCGATTTTTTATTAAAAGCCTTAGATGACCTGCGGACATGTAGGGCTGATCTGATTGCTTATGTGAAAAATGAGACTGAAACAGTACGGAGTGAGCTGATATTCTTGAGATCATTCCTCAGAAAGACACTAGAGCACTGCAAGAAGGTTGAAGAATTTGAAGATCTAGAGAATCGTGTTGTAGCTGCAGCATATGAGGCAGAATATGTCATTGATTTAGTCGCTCCAGGTGATGGCCCTCTCTGGTATCATGTGTTGTGGTTATCGGATGTCATAGAAAAGTTTAAGCATTTGAGGCGACGAGTAACAGATGTCTATGATGCAAAGATGCACGAGAAAACTGTTCACAGAATTGCGAAGCCTTCTAATAATGAATTATCACGAGATTATCAATTTGTTGATGAAGAGGTGGTGGGCTTCAAAGATGAGGCAGAAAAGTTAATCAACCGGCTTCAAAGAGGTTCGAAAGAACTGGATGTTATCTCCATCACTGGTCTGCCTGGACTTGGTAAGACAACTCTGGCAAGGAAAATTTACAACCATCCTTCAATTATTTCTCACTTCCACGTTTGCTCATGGTGTTGTGTCTCTCAACTGTGCAAGAAGAAATTTATTGCTTGACATATTAGGTAATGGAATTGTTTTGCTTAATGACAAAGTTTGGGAAATGAGCATTGATGATTTGGCTGAAGCCCTGTCCAGAAGTCTTAAATGAAGGATGCATTTCATTGTCTTGGATGACATATGGAACCCTCAGGCGTGGCGTGACTCAAGAAACTCTTTCCTAGATGATCATAATGGAAGCCGAATTGTATTCACAAGTCGAGTCCATGACATTGCTTTATTAGCAAACCCTGGTGGTTCCCCACATCATCTTCGCTTATTTACTGAAGAAGAAAGTTGGGAATTATTTCAGAGAAACGTGTTCCAACAAAAGATCTGCCCTCCAGAACTATGTAATGTTGGAAAGAAAATTGCAATAGAGTGTAGAGGCTTGCCTCTTTCAGTTGTTCTGGTAGCTGGACTTCTCAGGAAAATAACAATGACTGAAGATCATTGGAATGAAATTGCAGAAAGTGTAAGCAAACATATTGGAGGAGGAAAGGCTTTGGACACATTGGAAATGATTTACAGGCATTTACCAGGTCATTTGAAACCATGCTTTCTTTATTTTGGGATCTTTCCAGAGGACAGAGAAATTTCTGTCAGGAGATTAATATGTGTAAATTTTAAAAGAAAAGAAAAAAATGAACAAAAACTCTGCTTTTCTTTATTTTCCCACACACTAAATATGCTTACAAGGTAGGCATTTATAGGACAACCCTATCATAGTTCTGCCACCATTTAAGGTAATAGAGCCATGATTTTAGGGATTACATAATCAACTCATATCTTATCTATTCAAACTTGATTGATTATAAGCAATAAAATCCCATAATCATGGGAGGTAATATCTCTCATAATCATGGGAGATAATTATGAAAGATAATATCTCCCATAATCATAGGATGGTGTATCTTCGACACCCCCTCAAGTTGGTGCATATATATTTATCATGTCCAACTTGCTTGTAAGAAGTTCAAAATTTGGTATGAGAAGTCCTTTGGTGAGAATGTCAGCTATCTGCTAAGCTGATGGAATGAATGGCATGCAGATAATTCCTCCTTCAAGTTTCTCTTTTATGAAGTGGCGGTCAATCTCAATATGTTTGGTTCTATCATGTTACACAGGATTATGAGTTATGCTAATTGCTGCCTGGTTATCACAATAGAGCCTCATTGGAAGTTCAATAGGTCTTTTCAGCTCCTCTAAAACTCTCTTCAGCCATAACATCTCACACACACCATGAGCCATAGCTCGGTACTCTGCCTCTGCACTACTACGAGCTACAATACTTTGTTTCTTACTTCTCCAAGTAACCAAATTGCCCCATACAAAGGCACAATACCCCGAGGTTGATCTTCTATCAATGACTGATCCTGCCCAATCAGCATCTGTATAAGCTTCAATGGTCTTTCGATCTTCTCTTTTAAAGAACAATCCCTTTCCTGGAGCACTTTTTAAGTACCTCAGAATTCGATATATTGCATCAAGGTGCTCTTCATATGGAGAATGCATAAACTAGCTCACAACACTCACTGAAAAAGCTATATCAGGACGAGTGTGAATCAAGTAAATTAGCTTGCCTACTAACTTTTGGTATCGAGCAGTATCAACTGGTGTTCCATCTTTTATATCTGCTAACTTGTGATTCAGATCCATAGGAGTGTCTGCAGGTCGACATCCACTCATCCCTGTTTCCTTTAAAAGATCCAAAACATACTTGCGTTGGGACACAACAATGCCCTTCTTGGACCGAGCTACCTCCATCCCTAAGAAATATCGTAGTGTTCCCAAATCTTTGATTTCAAAAGCTAGAAGCAAGACTTTTCTTCAGCCGTTCCATCTCAATTAAGTCATCTCCTGTGAGGATGATATCATCCACGTACACAATGAGTGCTGCTATCTTCCCGTCCTTGGAGTGTTTAACAAACATGGTGTGATCACTCTGAGCTTGGGTATAGCCTTGATTCTTTACCGACCTAGTAAATTTTTCAAACCAGGCCCTAGGAGATTGTTTGAGACCATATAACGATTCTTTTAGCTTGCAAACTCTAGACTGAAACTTCCCTTCAAATCCAGGGGGAGACTCCATGTACACATCTTCCTCCAGATCACCATTTAAAAATGCATTCTTGACATCAAGTTGTTGGAGCGGCCAATCAAGGTTTACTGCTATTGAGAGAAGCACCCTAATAGTGTTTAATTTTGCCACTGGAGCAAAAGTTTCAAAATAATCGATCCCGTAGGTTTGAGTAAACCCTTTAGCCACCAATCGAGTTTTGTACCGTTCCAATGTCCCATTGGAATTATACTTGATGGTAAAGACCCATTTACACCCTACTGTCTTTTTCCCTTGTGGCAGGTTTGTTACTTCCCATGTTTGATTCTTCTCAAGAGCATACATCTCTTCTTCAATAGCCTTTCTCCACTCTGGAACTTGTAATGCTTCCTGTACATTCTTTGGAATTTTCACAGAAGAAAGTTGTGAAGTAAATGTCAAGAAAGTAGGGGATAACTTTTCATAAGAGACATAGTTAGTCATAGGGTGTTTGGTACAAGAACGCACTCCCTTTCGAAGTGCAATAGGAAGATCCAAAACAGCAATTCTTTGAATCAGAGGAAACTTTATCTGATGACTCAAAAACATCAAATTCTGCCCTAGGTTCGGATTCCTTGTTGTGAAGAGAAGGGGGAGCTTTATCTTTTCCTCGATGATTTTTCCTGACATAGGTTTTCAAGGTTTTTTCAGTTACATTCCCATCTCTTTCACTAAGAGAATTCGACTCTGTTATTGGCACTAAAGACAAGAGATCCTCTTCTAATCCCTGATCAATTTTTTCACGTTTTTCAAAATCCTTTTGACGGGCAAATTGAAGAGTGTCATTGATTTTTCAGGATTATTATCTTGAAAAGATTCTTGTTGAGGAAATTGTGCTGCAGATTCTTTTAAAAAATCAGAAAAATCAATTCTCCTATCAACAAAATTTTGATCAGGAATTTGATTTTCAATACAAAAAACATCATCATCTTCTACAAGTTCTTCTACATGCCGAGTCCCCCCCTGAAGAGGATCTCCAAAGAAAGGTTTATCTTCAAAAAATGTTACTTCCATGGTTACAAACATTTTTTTCGAAATGGGGTCAAAGCATGTTGACCTTGGTCGATCAATCATTAGTTTTGATGATTAACAAACCAAAATGTAGATTTGGGCTAATGTTTTTATGTGAGCAATTTGTTAGAACAGATTCTTGTGGCACATGTCGGACGTCCGAAAGGAAGCTATCGGACGTCCGAAAGGATGAAGAACATCAAGAAGGAAACTCTGTCGGACGCTCGTGAGGAAGCATCGGACGTTCGGAAGGATCGGACGCATGCCTCGGACGCACATCGATCGCATCGGACGTCCGAGAAATTTCACAAAGATTTGATGACTCTCTGACGACATTCGGACGCAGGGTTCGGACGTCCGACAGGTGGTTTGGACGCAGGGTTCGGACGTCTGACAGGTGATTCGGACGTCCGACAGGCCAACGGCTAGTTTTGACAGCATTTAATATTTGACCGTTGGAGAGCCTTTTGGAGCCATTTCTCACCTTCTATAAAAACCCCAAAGCACAAGAAGACAAGGGACTTTTGCCAACACAAAATACAAGCTTACAAGTGAGATTTTTGAGTAGAAAGATTCTTTGTTGGTTGTATAAGGGGTTGGGAAAGTTGGGTTGTGAGGTTGCTCAAGTGAAAGTTACTCTCTAGGATGAGTAAAACCTTGGTGAAGGTGAACCTATCACTTGAAGTGGTAAAACCTTGGTGAAGGTTGCCTCATTTATATAAAATAGTTCTTAATTGGGTGAGTGATCTTTCAAGTGTAGGTTGTTGAGGTTAACTAGAATAGTTGTAAAACTCCTTGGCTCAACCAAAGAGTGTTTGGGGTGAGGAAGGAGTGAGCCTTCACTTGTACATCTTGGTTAGCATCGCCATCTATTGAAGAGGCTATTGGATTGATATTTGGTTTGCATTTCTTATCTTTTCTCTTTAATTAAGTTTTCTTTATTGTGCTTAAATTTGATATATCTTTGTGCATCATTGTGATATTGTTTGTACTCATTGGGTTGCACCAGACCTTACAAAGCATTTATACCCCTTTTGCATGGGTGCATATCCAACAAAAATGCATTTTCTTGCTCGAGGGTCTAACTTACTTCGACCTTGTTCATGATTGTGAACAAAGGCTATGCACCCAAACACCTTTAATGAGATTTCATATGCTAATCGAGACATGGGATAAATTGTTTTGAAAAAATTCAGAGGAGTTTGGAAATTCAAGGTTCTTGAGGGCATTCTGTTTATGAGATATGTAGCAGTTAAAATTGCTTCGCCCCATAGATATTTAGGAACATTTCTTGAAAAAAGTAATGCCATCGCCACTTCTAAAAGATGTTTATTTTTTCTTTCAGCTACCCCATTCTGTTGTGGGGTATCATTGCAGGAGCTTTGATGCACAATTCCTTTTTCAAGAAAAAAACTTCTCAAAATTTTATTGAAATATTCTTTTCCATTGTCACTCCGAACAATTTTGATTTTTTCTTGAAATTGTGTCAAAACCATGCTGTAGAATTTTTGAAACACACTTGCAACCTCTGATTTCTCTCTTAACAAATACACCCAACAAACTCTTGTGTGATCATCGATGAATGTAACAAACCATTTTTTTCTAGATGAAGTTGAAATTCTAGAGGGACCCCAAACATCAGTATGTAATAGAAAAAACGGTTTTGAGGGTTGATAAGGATATATAGAAAATGTAGACCGATGATGTTTAGCCAATTCGCAGATTTCACATTGAAAGGAAAATAAATCTTTATTCTTAAACAAATCTGAAAATAAGTATTTCATGTAATAAAAACTAGGATGTCCTAGTCTAAAGTGCCATAACATAATCTCTTTATTACTAATAATAGAGACAGACCCGTAACATGTGTTTTTGATTGGTGTTGTCAATATTTGATCCATCTTCAAGGAAGTAAAGTTCCCCATTTTCTCTAGCACATCCAATCATCCTTCCGGTGGTCAGTTCCTGAAACTCACAAAAAGAGGGGAAAAAATTAATCCGACACATGAGATCCCTAGTTAATTTACTTATGGACAGCAAATTGCATGATAATTTTGGAACATGAAGAACTCTATGAAGTGTTAGAGTAGGAGAGATGACAACGGAACCTATGCCAGCTATGACGGATAATGATCCGTCAGCAACCTTGACCCTTTTATTGCCTGCACATGGACTGTAGGTAGAAAATAATTGTGACAAACTAGTCATATGGTCAGTGGCCCCAGAATCAATAACCCATATAATCCGTGGACAAGATGCATTTGATGTTTTACATGAAAGAGCAATAGTAAAAGGTTTACCATTTTTAGCAAAAGAACAGAAAGGAGTGAAGCTTTATGGCTCAGTGACTGAAAATTGTGGAGACTTAAAGAGTTTGTACAGTTGGCTTAATTGTTCCTTTGTGAAGGCTGGTGTCTCAGAGTCAGTTGTTGCTTTTGAGAATCCTCATTCACAGTCTGCAACACCTTGCTATCACCTCCATTTTTCTTCTTGAAATTCGATGGTTTCCCATGTAATTTCCAGCACGTGTCCTTTGTGTGCCACGACTTTTTACAGTGTTCACACCAAGGCTTCCTTCTTTTATCTCCGTCCAAATCTGTCCCCTTAGAAACCAATGCTGAAGTCTCAACTTCATCCTCTGCCTTGGACTTTAGCATCACCTTACGCCTTGATTCTTCTTTTCTGACCTCTGAAAATACTTCACGAATGGAGGGGAGAGGCTTCCTGCCCAAAATACGACCTCGCACCTCATCAAGTTCTTGATTTAGTCCGGCCAAGAAGACATAGACTTTGTCGTTCTCCTCCCGTTTCTTGTATCGAACACTGTCTGCATGGCAGTCCCATTCATCCTCAAAACAAAGATCCAATTCCTGCCATAAAGTTACCATCTGATTGTAATAGGTTGTAACATCTCTATCTTCTTGTCTTGATTTCCACAATTTTGTC